GGTATTCTGCTGATGAGCTTGAGAGGTTCTCCTTCTTCATAAAGTTCATTGTAGTTCTCTGTGTTCATCTGCGCATGCGCATTGGTCATTTCTCTGCTGAAGCCGCTGGGAGAGGTTCTCTTTGCTGTAGCTCCCTCGTAGTGCTCTCCTTCTGATGATTCTTCTGTATCTGTTTCTGACTCTTCAGAAGAATAAATATATTTTTTGTTATTTTTTGTGTTTTTTCGCGCCAGAGTTTTTGAATGTTGCATTCTGATTGGTTCAGCCGTGTTCATTTCTGTGGCCGGTTGAAGAAAAGATGGCTGCCTTTCAAAATTTTGAGCGGGACCTCTGGTCTTGCTTCTGGTCATTTTTTCTTTCGTTGTAGGTTCGCTCACCATTTTTGTATTTTCGGGTTTGGCTTTTTCAATGTCTTTTTCTCTCGCTGCTCCGTTTTCTTCCAAGAAGCCTCGGAGTTCCGCGATGAGTTTGTGGTCATCTTTTTGACTTTTTATTAGCCTCAGTATCTCCGATCTGAGGTCTTTGTCTTTTATTTCGTTCTCTTCTTGGTTGTCGGTTTCATCTGCTGTTTCTTCGATGTCTGTGGTGTTATCTTCAGATTCTTTGATTGTTATATTTATTGGTTCGTCGATCATTTCGTGATCTGTTTTTGTTTCTTTATCATTTGCCCTGGTGTTGGGTCTTTCTTTTTTGTTCTTGAGGTTTTCTTTCTTAGGCATGTTGGATTTTATTGAGTCAGTTCAACCATCGACTGCTACCAGTTTGTTACAATATTTTGAGGATCAGACTCAATAATAAATTCAGAAGTATTTTTCTTCAGTTAAAGAAGAGTTTATTCATAACAGGCATTCTACTTGTTCTGTCAGATTTTACAGTGAGAAGCAAGCATGAGGTAAAAGCATTCTCTATTTATATCGAAGGGGAGGAGTCAAGGATGGGGGTGATTACATATGAATACATTAAAGGGGGAGGAATAAATTAACTCTTAATATCCTGTACATATATACATATCTCTTGTTATAGAATAAGGCATTTACTTATGACAGTGTTTCCAATTGGTGCCCCCATCCGTGTATTCACCAGGTTTAACTGTGCTTAACCCAGCACTTTTCAAAAATATAGCTATTGAATGTTTTGACTATTCAGGTGTATTTATTTATTTCTTTATAAATTTTATTGTCCACCAACGTTACCGTGACACCACTGTGGGCATCTTAAGAGACATAAAAAAAAAACATTAAAAGCTAAATTAATTGTAGGAAGAAAAATCTGGACCTGTTTTAAGACAGGAGAAAGGAGCTGGAAATAAAAGGGAGGCTGATTGGAAAGAAGGATTCTTTTTACTGATGAGCAAACCAACAGTATTATGTTGTTCTGGGTCAGCTGACAAAATGGGGTTGGGATAGGTGGGCTTTTATACATTCTTTGGGGTTTTGTGTTTGAAATGCTCCAGGGGGTTGTGCAATGTAGTCTTTTGCTATTCCGATGATCCTGGGTTAATGCTATTATGTCCTAAAAGTCCTGTCCTGTCCTTAATCCCATCAACTGGAGCTGAAGGTAGAATAGAATAGAATAGAATTCTTTATTGGGCAAGTGTGATTGGACACACAAGGAATTCGTCTTGGTGCATACGCTCTCGGAGTACATAAAAGAAAAGATACATTCGTCAAGAATCATAAGGTACAACACTTAATGATAGTCATAGGGAAACAGTCAATATAAATCTTAAGGATACCAGCAACAAGGTTACAGTCATACAGTCATAAGTGGGAGAAGAAGGGTGATAAGGTGTTTTGTTTGTGAATAGATTGGGCACAAAATCTCCATCTCTAAAGACTTCAGGCATCTGCTGGAGGCTGTTGTATGGTGCTTTCAGCCTTAGTTAAGATTTTTCTCCATTTCTCCTTTGGGGAAATATAATATTCTGCCTCTTAATATTCCACAACATATTTCATTCTTCTCGGGGGAGGATGTCCCACAAAATTAATAGTAAAGATTAAAATCAAGGACATATGGGAAAGACAGGGGTGGAATGGTGGGGGGAGGGGGATCTACTACTTGATCAAGGGCAAGCATAGGTAGTCCTCACTTACCATTGGTTCACGGAGCCTTTCAAGTTACAATGACACTGTAGAAGCAGACGTAGTTATGAAGGTGCAGGAAAAGGAGAGTTGCACCAATTCGGATTCTGCAAACTGGTGCACTTTTATGATGATTTCAGCATCCTACACATGATCCCCATTTGTGACCTTCCCAGCTGGCTTCTGACAAGTAAAATCAGTGGGGATGCCAGCAAGAAGTTGCAAGCTAGAGTCATGTGATATTGCGTTTAACAACCCACAGTGATTTATTAAAGAACTGCAGTGGAACAGATGTAAGTTGGCACCATCATGTGACTTCATGCTTCATGATTGGGCCACTTAGTGACACAGATGCCAGTCCCAATTGCAGTCAGTAAGTGAGGACTACTTCAATTGGGATGTCACCAAAGGGGTGGTGGAAAGTATTTTCTGCCCTTACTTGGAGCTCAGTGCTTCCATGGGCATAACTGGTGTGTCAAATCTTACTTTAGGCATCATTTCATCCTTTAAACCCCCTACATCTGAAAAGTTAGCATCATGCAGATAGACAGGTGTGGCTTAATAAAACAAAAGACAGAGTCCAAGTGTCCAAGTGATAAGCTAATGCATTTATTCAGCTGAATAAAGACGGGTCCCTCTTAAGAAGGAAGGAATCCTGAGCATAGTGCAAGGCAGATATTTACCGTATATTTCGGAGTATAAGGTGCATCTACCTTTTTTGGTTTTTAAAAAAAAAATTTTTTTTTTAAATTTTTTAGACAAACACACATACAAACATACAATGTATTTTCTCTGAACAGAGTATTTGGCTGGTTCAGAAATATAAACAGTGTTTAGTCATTTCAATTAAATTTACAATTTCTATATTTCCTTTTTGCCATATTTATTCCACATCTATTTTTTTTAAAAAAAACAATTATTACCCTTCATCCTCATCTCTAATCTTAATCAAATTCAATTTTTCTCTTCTCTTCTATATTATACCCCTTCCCATTGTTATCTATTTTTATATTCATCCTCACATTGGTTAATTATGTAATATTACAATTGTTTAATACAAATTCAACATTTTAATATAAATTAGTTATATATATCTTTTTTTTGTATATTAATCAATATGAACATAAATATTCCAATTTTCATGCAATCCAATTTCTTACAAATCAATTAATTATATTTACCAATAATAATAAACCATATAATTTTCCCCTCTTATGTTACTCATTTTCACATTTTAAACTCTCCCAATAACCCAAATAGTTTTGCCCATATAATCTTCCAAACCACAACTTAATCATTTCTACTTTCATCACAATATATAAATAAAAATATTTCAATCATTACAATTTCCCTAATTAAAGTTAAAAATGTTCTAGCTGTTATCCAAGCTATAATTTAATCCTTTTTACTTTCACCACCATATACCATTAAAGGTATTTCAATTGTTCCAGTTTATACTTATTCATATTTGTAAAAAAAATATAAAAATAAAAACTTATCATTGTCTAGATTTCAAAAATACAAAGACAAATATTCCAATTATTATTCATTTCATTTTTACAATCATGATTTCTCATTTATTTCTTACTACTATTCATATTTCAATTCTAAATATGTATAACATTTTTCTCTTTCATTTCTTTTTCTTTTTCTCCCTTCCCATTTTTATTTTTGCCTTTTTCATTCTTTTTTTCTTTTGTGTTTAAAATCTTGAACTCTCCTCTTTTGCCCTAAATTGTTTGCACCTACCTATTTAGTGAGGAAAAAGAAGAAAAAGAAATCTCCCTCTGCCTAATTTTGCCTCGTTGCAGCAAACAGCCTGCTTTACTTTCAGTTTCGTTTTCCGCATAGCTTGATTAGCACAAGGGGGGGGGAAATCTGCTCCAGCACTCTTTGCAGCAAACAGCAGAGCCCTGCACAAAACAGCTGAGAGCAGATCAGCTGAGAGTTGGGAGGCCAATCTAATCAACTTGTGCTAATTAGCCTGTGCTGAAGCTGAAAGGAGCTGTTTTTTCTTGCTGTTTGCTTGCAAGGAGGTAACTGCTGCGAGGCACAGGCCAAAGGGTGGGGGCCAGTGGGTGGGTAGGGCTACATTCGGTGTATAAGACGCACCTGAATTTTCACCCCCTTTTTGGGGGTAAAAAGGTGCGTCTTATACTCCGAAAAATATGGTATACATTTCTTTGCTTTTGCTTCATTACATTAGAGGCAGTTGGGACATGACAGATAAGAGATAGAAATATAAAAATTATAAAAATAGTCAAGCATGCCTTCTGTAGTTTTGGTCACATGTGTTTTCCTGTGAAAGTTTCTATGGCTTCAGAAGCCTGTTGAGGTCTGAACTTCAGCCTTGCCATTTCAACATGTGAGCAGTCATCAGATTGCTGATTAACATTAGCATAGAAAGTTTGACTGTAACTATTTTGAGATGCTTTTCAGGGTTGAAAGACATAGGTTTTCTCCATATTGCAGGCATGTGTATTTTTATTTCTTTGAGTGTATATATCTGCAAATGTATAATCCATCCCCAGGACTTCCAGATATACAGTCATGTGAAAAAGAAAGTACACTCTCCTTGACTTCTATGATTTTATATATCAGGACGTAGTAAAAATCAGTTGGTCCTTAGAAGTTCTTAAAAGTAGGTAAATACAACCACAGATGAACAACAACACATGACATTTTACATCAGGTCATCATTTATTTTATAAAAAGAAAGCCAAAACGGAAAAATCATGTGTAAAAAATTGTATGATTCAATCATTTGTAGAACCACCTTTAGCAGCAACAACTAGAAGTAATTCTTTTCTGTATGACTATCAATCTCTTGCAGTGTTGTGGAAGAATTTTGACCCTCTCTTCTTTACAACATTGCTTCAGTTCATTGAGGTTTGTGGGTGTTTTTTTATGCACAACTCTCTTGAAGTCCCGCCAGTCGGGTTGAGGTCTGGACTTTGTATTTGAAAACAACCCTTTGCACTGCTAAGAATTTGTGATTGACCCAGTCAACTAGTGAATTTCATCATTGAATGGATATTCGAACTTGGATCTGAGTAGTCTTCCATGTGTTAAATGAATCACGATTAATGTAAGAACTTATTTGAGCATTGGGGCATGTTTGCTTTTTCATTGTAATGTAACCCTTTTTCTTTTTTTTCTCATCTGCTGCAACAATTTCATGCACAATTAAAGATACATTTTTATTTGAATCTTATAGACAAAGAAGATGTCATAAAAGAAGATGGCAATGAGCACTCTGGACAACTGAGGATAACAAGCAACATTGAAGACCAAAGCAAGTCACTCCAGGAATCAAAATATTTTCCATTTTCTTCAGACAGCTACACAATTCTTCACCTTCCTCGGCAGGTGAGAGAAAAACGAGAGAAAATGAAGAAGAGATTTCTAACTGGGAAAAATAGAGTGTGAAATTCAAGCATACATTACATGAAAAGTCAAAGGAGATTATTCTTCCATTGAGCAAAAAAAGGAAATATCTGGTAGTCAGTGGGGGGGAAAACATCATTTGGAAAGGTATGTAGAGCAGACAGTGTTGCAGGCTTCACTCTGGGAGGAAGAAAACGGCTTGAATTAAAGCTTCAGTAAATAAGGGATCATTGATATTTTAGACCTCCTCAAGAACATTAGTTGTGGAAAAGCTCCATAGACATGCCTATTGTGGGAAAGATACAACTTGCAAATCACAGTTGATTATACCAGAGAGGATCCCGACTGGAGAAAAACCATACAAATACTCTGAATGTGGCAAAACCTTTTGTCAGAACAACGCCATTGTGGTCCATGGAAGAACTCACACAGGAGAGAAACCCTACAAGGGCTCCCAATGTGGTAAATGCTTTAGTGAGCATGGCAACATGGACTCACACCAAGGAAAAACTGTTTGAATGTCCTGATTGTGAGAAATGTTTCTGTGATAATTCCAGCCTTGTGAGACACCAGAGAACTCACACAGGAGAGAAACCTTTTGAATGTCCTGACTGTGGGAATAGTTTCAGTCGAAATTCTCACCTCGTTTCACACCAGAGAACTCACACAGGAGAGAAACCCTTTGAATGTCCTGTTTGTGGGAAAAGTTTCAGTCACAATTCTAGCCTGGTGATACACCAGAGGACTCACACAGGAGAGAAACCCTTTGAATGTCCTGATTGCGGGAAAAGTTTCAGTCAATATTCCAACCTCATTGGTCACCAGAGGACTCACACAGGAGAGAAACCCTTTGAGTGTCCTGATTGTGGGAAAGGTTTCAGTCACAATTTCAGCCTGGTGAAACACCAGAGGACTCACACAGGAGAGAAACCCTTTGAATGCTCCTATTGTCATAAAAGTTTCAGTCACAATTCTAGCCTGGTGATACACCAGAGGACTCACACAGGAGAGAAACCCTTTGAATGTCCTGATTGCGGGAAAAGTTTCAGTTGGAATTCCAGTCTGGTGAGACACCAGAGAACTCACACAGGAGAACACCCCTTTGAATGTCCTGATTTTGCTAAAAGTTTCAGCTATAATTCCAACCTGGTGACACACCAGAGAACTCACGCAGGAGAGAAACCCTTTGAATGTCCTGATTGTGGGAAAAGTTTTAGTCAGAATTTCTGGCTGGTGATACACCAGAGAACTCACACAGGAGAGAAACCCTTTGAGTGTCCTGATTGCGGGAAAAGTTTCAGTCGGAATTCCAACCTAGTGAGACACCGGAGAACTCACACAGGAGAAAAACCATATGAGTGTCCAGATTGTGGGAAAGATTTCAGTATTAGGACTAGCCTTTTAAATCATATGCTTATACACACAGGGGAGAAACCATTTGAGTGCCCCGAGTGTGGATGGTGCTTCAGGAAACATTCCAGCCTTATTGCACACACGAAAATCCATATGAGGCCCCAAGTGATAAGTGTAGAGAAGGCTTGAATCTCATTTTTAATGTTCCATTGTAACTCAAGTTGAGAAATTGACTGTTTAATTTGACTACAAAGGATTTGCCTATTTTTTTTGTAGGCAAATATGTAATGGTATTAGACAGGAAGGAGGAAGGAAAGAATGGCAACATATTATTTTAATAATGCCTATCTAACCATCAGCAGCAGAACTTGCTGGATATGGGTAGTCCTCGGGTTACGAATGTAATGGAGCCTGCCCATTCCATCCGTAATTGAGAATTTGTGGGAGTGAATCTCATACATTGAATGACATCACTCCCTGCTTTCGCCCAGGCATTCGTTGCTTTCCCACTCCCGATCAGTTTGATGAGGCCTCTGACACCGAGAAAGAAGCCCTGAGAAGGTGTGCGCAGTCTCTTGGGACTGCTTTCTAGTCGGCAAAGCGCTTGAGGATTGTGTTCCTGTAGGCTTTGGCAGCCCTTCGCAAAAAGCCTTTGCCTTCAGGAACAGGGTTTCGGAGGGATGTACCCACTCTTCCCAAGTTCCGCTGGTGCCAATAAAGTCTTTTTGCAAAGGGCTGCTGAAGCCTACAGGAATGCAATCTCCCTACAAGCTTCAGCAAGGAAATGGCAAACAGAGGGAAGACCTGAGGGACCAAAGCATTTCCTCTGTTTGCAAACATCCAGGTCTCAATTTGCAGAGAATAGAGGCCCTAAATGCGAGATTACACAAGATCTCATCCTACTGATCTCGCGATATGCTAAGCCTCTGTTCTCTGCAAATGCAGGCAAATAGAGGAGATATTTCCAAGATAAGTGAAGGCAAAGTGCTTGTGAAGACCCGGGGTGGGGGATAGGGGTGAATATTGCAGAGCCACTGGTCGTTCATAAGGGTGAAGTGCTGTGGTGGTGCAATATTTATAATTTGGTGATTTGTTCATAAACACTAGGGGGCACTTATCTTCGAACATTGGCTAAGAGAACACACGTAACTCAGGGATTACCTGTATTTATTTTTGCAGAAATTGTGCAATTCTGTAAAAATCTTTTTGGGGTTTTCTTTGCATTTTTATCATGGTAGATGATAGAAATGCCATGTACAGAGTCCCAGCCTTTTTCTTCCTGGGTGTCCGCGAGATTTTCAGCCCCAGAATTCTCTAGCCAGGATCTCTTGTGAATTGGAGCACTCAGAATATAGGTAGAGATTGTGGCTCCTTATCTAAGGAGAAAGAGAGAGGAGATGAGAAGTAGACAGGATTTCAAATTCATCTTTTCCTACCAGTTCCAGGAATTCAGTGCACCAAGCATATCTGTTCAGGTTGTGTCAAGAATGAGGCACACAAGTTGAAGATACCATATGAATAGCAAATATATACGGGGAGTTTGGGGCACTGACAAAACTAGTGTAAAATTTCTGATATAAAGACTGTTCTGCCTTCCACGTGACCTTCATGGAGAAGAGCTGTAGGAATATTGAGTTGAGGAGAAAAGGGATTGTGGTTTTGAGCACAGGACCTCTAGGTTTATTTGCAACTCCTGTGATCTCCTTTGTTTTTTTAGGGGCTTCCTTGTTAGTCTTTGACGGCTGGTGGGTGAGATCAGCACCAAGGGACTGATACTTTTGTGGTCCCCCCCCCTTGGTGGGGAGATGTGAGGGGAAAAATGGTACACTAGATAATGCAGATCAATTATCCTGATTTTTCTGGGATGAGAAGACACCATATAATTAGAGGATTGTTTATTTCACCAACAAGAGCCTTGATAGTACAGTGGTTTAGTGCACCCTGTTATTAACACAGCTGCCTGCAATTTCTGCTGGTTCGAATCTCTCCAAGGCTCAAGGTTGACTCAGCCTTCCATCCTTTCTAAGGTAGGTGAAATGAGGACCCAGTTTGTGGGGGCAATAAGCTGACTTTGTATAAAATATACAAAAGTATGAAGGCTATTGCTTAACGTATTGTAAGCTGCCCTGAGTCTCCGGAGAAAGGCGGCATATAAATCAAATTAAAAAAAAAAAAAAGATTCAAAAAGACAGGTTACAATGTTTTTTAGTAGATCACATTACCCGTGCTCCCTTTGAAGGACAGCCAACAACCAGGACCAGGCCAGATGTGTGGAGAAACCAAGAGGCTCTTGGCCTGAGTCTTAAATCCAAGTGATTTCAAATTTAAAGATGTGCAAAATTTCTAAAATTTAAAATGGTAAAATTATGCTTAATCTATTTATCTTTTTCTCTTTCCTTGGTGTCATATTTTAGAGCACATGTTTACCACGTTATCTTACGGTTAGCAGTTCGAAATGCAATGTTCTCAAAGCCTCTCATAGGGCTATATAACAATATCAAGCAAAATTAAATAAAGCCAATTTAAGAGTCATAGGGGATGGTCTACAGGGCGAGGTCAAAAGTCATAAATTCCCAATCAGAGGAACATTCTTTTTCGTCAGAATCAAAATTTGTAGTTGAGATTGAAAGGGGTAAAATATGTGTTATTTGGAGGATACTGGGTCTTGAAAACTGCAGCCTTGAATTTGGGGCTGGAGTAGCAGGAACAGCTGAATGGATAGATTTTGTGGGGAGGAGGAAGATCTAGTCTGGTGGTCACCAGGCTAAAGCCTGAGATGGTCATTTGTGATCCTGCTTTAGTGTCTGGAGATTCTCAGTCATCCCGGTCATGGTTGTCCCAAACATGTTTTTTCAAGAGGCATTTGGACTTTCTCATTTTTCTTTGAAGACATTTCACTTCTCGTCCCAGAAGTTTCTTAGATCGGAGCTGAAGAAGCTTCTTGGATGAGAAGCGAAACGTCTTCAAAGAAAAATCAGAAAGTCCAGTTACCTCTTAAAAAGCACCTTTAGGTTCTGTTTTAGGCACAAAGACATCTCAGAGACTTTGACCTATCGCGTTGTCTCAGGCCTTGGAAAGGGGAAATCCACTTTCAAAAAATCTTGCCAAGGAAACTGCAGGGAAATGGAAGTGCAGGATAACTTCCCAAAACCTATTTTTGCAACTGAGCGAACCTTGAAGAGAGAACCTTGACCTACTTAGCTTCTCAAGATTAGGGAGGTGTTGTGCCATAAATATTTATGAAGTTCTTGTTTGTATGCACAGCCACTAAATGATTTCCAGCTTCATCCTATGAATAGAATAATGAAACATGGAAAAATAACTGGGAACATCCACCTTCCAAACCACATCTAGATAGGAGAGATTCTTTCTGTCTGCATCCTTGCAGAGCCTAAATCTCACTAGAGGGAAGACTTGCTTTGAGCAGCCGTCCCAATCTCCACAGGAGTTAGATTTATTATTCCCAAACTTTTGGGCAAAAGACTTGGAGGGCTATACTTTGCAGAAAGCTGATGTATAGATTTCTGCACTTTCTTAGGGGTGACTCAGTGGAGATCAAAATCTCTACATCCCCAAACTTTATGACTGATTTGCTGTGTCTACCAAGGATTTAAGACCCAGGAGAATCAGTGGGTCAGAGGCTCAAAGGGAGCCAGCTTCATTCGTACTGCCCAGAGATGCTTCCAAGCACACCCATGCTAAATGCCTTGTGCGTCTGTGCATACACAGAAGTCTCCATTAGGTCAAAGTGAGAAAGTCACATACCCAGCAGGGCTAGAAAAGGGGGCTTAACAAGAGGAGATGACTGTCTGTATATGGTAAGAGAAATGTTTCCAAAAGGCATTTCCAAGGACTGGAAAAAAGATTGGTAATACAGATGTTCATGCAACAATGTACCACTCTTTGTTTGATACCCATTCCTTTTTTTCATTGTAAATTTTAATCTAATAAAATATACAAAATTCTTGCCAAGGAAACTGCAAGGCCAGGCATCAAGACTGATTCTTTGTTTGATACTCTTTTTAATTAGAAATTTTCAATCTACTCTCTCTCTCTATATATAAAAGCGAAAACCACTCATACCATAATCACGAAATCTCCAGAACCGTAAAGCCTACAAACTTTAAATTTGCCCCGTTTGTTCCTCTTGGCTTCTAGGTGCTCACTAAGAAAGGAGTTTTCGAAATGACCATCAGGGCATTAGTATTTCCTATATTATTATTATTAAAACTCTGATGCTAAGGAGTTCTACTCCGCCTCCCCACTTGAAAAGAAATCTGTTCCAAATGCAAAACACAAGCAGAGGAGAGGAATTTCAGTTTCAGTTTTACTTCCACAGCAGCAAGCAGGGGATACAATAGGGGAGGCTTCTGTGGAGCAAGCCTGAGTGAGAGAAAGGGAGAGGATAGGGGAGGCTTCTGTGGGGCAAGCCTGATGGAGAGAAGGGGAGAGGAGAGGCCGATCATAACTACTCATTAATTTTCAAGTAGAAAATTAATTAATTCCTCTTTCCTCTTAATTTTCCTCAATGGAGCTATCCCCACATGGAAGGAAGTAAGCAGGCCTACAAAGCAGGAAAAGGAGGTAACCACTTCCAAAAACCTTTGCCAAGGAAACTGCAAGGCCAGGCATGAAGACTGATCCAAAGGCACTAAATACGGAGCTAAATAGCGTCACGTTTCACTTTTTCACTTGGCTCAGTTGCAAAGGTCGGCTGCTAGGAGTCGAAAACATCTTCCAAAAGCCTTGGTGGAGATTGGACAGGCGTGTTTTTCCACCTCCCGTCGCTAGATGGTGGTCAGGCAACGTCTGTGCCTAGAAAGCCATCAATTCAGTGGTGCCATCCGTGATTGCGCTTAAACAAAGGAGTTTAAAACCATGGAGTACTGCATTGCTAGAAAGGATGGGAGGAGAGGAGAGGAGAAGCGCAGAGGAACTTCCTCTTCCGGATTACTGATGGGAGGAAGTTGGTGTGCAGAGCGGCTTTTGTGCTGTTTCCATGGTGGAAGCAGCAGCTGGCAGGTGAGTGGAGGGCTGCAGGTGGGAGGAGAGTCCGGGAGCAACTTGGGCTGGAAGCGGAGAAGCAACTGGGCTGAAGCCTCTCAGCTGCGGCTGCTGCAGGTTCCTTCCCTCCCCAAATGGAAGCCCACTGGTGCTGCAGGCTGGGAAACTGGGGGCTGCAATTTCTGCTGGTGGGAAGCTTGAAAAAGCCTCCTTCCAATGCAGGTTGAGCCTTTGGGGCTGGTTTCCCTCCAGAGGTTGTGGCTGCTCCCATCACTGGAGGGTTTTGAGGGGCGATTGGGCAGCCATTTGTTCTGGATGGAACAGATATAAAATGTATTGGCCACCAACCTTACCATGACATAACTGTGGGTGGTTTAGAGAGAGAAAATAATGCGTACACATTAAAATCTAAATAAATTGTAGGAAGAAAAATCCGGTCCGGTTCCAAGCCAGGAGAAAGGAGCTGGAAATAAAATGCTTAGTGACACAGATGCCAGTCCCAATTGCAGTCAGTAAGTGAGGACTACTTCAATTGGGATGTCACCAAAGGGGTTGTGGAAAGTATTTTCTGCCTTTACTTGGAGTTCATGGCTTCCATGGGCATAACTGGTGCTTCAAATCTTGCAGAGGCTTTAGGCCTCATTTGGTCATTTAAAGCCCCCACATCTGTCAAGTTAGTGTCATGCAGATTGTCAGGTGTGGCTCAATAAAATAAAAGAGAGTTCAAGTGTGTTTGTTTCTTCAGCTGAATATAGATGGGTCCCTCCTAAGAAGGAAGGAACCCTGAGCATAATGAAAGGCAGATATTTATACATCTATTTCCTTTCACTTCATTACATAAGACGCAGCTGGCACATGGAAGATAAGGTACAGAAATATAGAAATTATAAAAATAGTCAAGCATGCCTTCTGTGATTTTGGTCACGTGCCTAACAGACAGGCTAGTAGTTTTCTGTGAACGTTTCCATGGCCTCAGGAGACTGTTGAGGCCTGAACTTCGGCCTTATCATCTCAACATATGAGCAAACATCAAATTGATCAGATTCCTCATTAACATTAGCGCAGAAGTATGATTGAGATATTTTTCAGGCTTGAAAGACATTGATTTTCTCCATATTGTAGGTGTCTGTATTATTTCTCTCTGAATGTGTATATCTCCAAATGCATAATCTCTCCCCAGGACTTCCAGATAAACAGTCATGTGAAAAAAAGTACACTCTCCTTGACTTCTATGATTTTATATATCAGGACGTAGTAAAAATTGGTCCTTAGAAGTTCTTAAAAGTAGGTTAATACAACCACAAAGGAACAACAACACATGACATATTATATCAGGTCATCTTTTATTTTATAAAAAGAAAGCCAAAACAGAGAAGTCCTCTGTAAAAAATTGTATGATTCAATAATTTGTCAAACCACCTTTAGCAGCAACAACTAGAAATTCTTTTCTGTATGTCTTTATCAATCTCTTGCAATCCTCTTATGGAGGAATTTTGGCCCATTCTTCTTTACAAAATTGCTTCAGTTCATTGAGGTTTGTGGGTGTTTTTTTATGCACAACTCTCTTGAAGTCCCGCCCATCGGGTTGAGGTCTGGACTTTGACTGCTATTGTAACACCTTGATTCCAACTCCGCTTTGGTCTGCTCTGTGCAAAGGACAGTGTTCCAGAAGTCATGTGATTTGTTCAGATGCAACTCTGCAAACCTCAGCCATGCTGCTATGACTTTTTTAGAGAGAAGAGGGTTTCCCCTCACAACCCTTCCAAACAAGCCATACTTGTTCAGTCTTTTCCTAATTGCACTGTCATGAATCTTAACATTTAACATGCTAACTGAAGCCTGTAAAGTCTGAGATATAACTCTTTGTTTTTTTGCAATTTCTCTGGCCATTGCATCGTCTGACTTTGGGGTGAATTTTCTTGGATGTCCAGTCCTGGGAAGATTGGCAACTGTCTTGAATGTTTCCCACTGGTGAATAATCTTTTTAACAGGTTAACAGAGTTGGAAGGGACTTTATAGGTCATCTAATCCAACCTTCCCCACTCAAGCAAATGGCAGTCCAATCTTTTCTTGAAAGTCTCAAGTGATGAAGCTCCCACAACTTCCGAAGCTTTTCCATTGGTTGATTGTTTTCACTGTTAGAAAGTTCCTCCTTATTTCTAGGTTGAATCTCTCCTTAGTGCTTTGGAAAATAGCTTGACCCCTCCTCTCTGTGGCAGCCCCTCAAATATTGGAAGACTCCTATCATGTCACCCCTGGTCCTTCTCTTCACTAGACTAGCCATGCCCAGTTCTTGTAACCATTCTTCATATGTTTTAGTCTTCCGGTCCCCTAAGCATCCTGGTTGCCCTCCTCTGCACTTTTTGTAGACTCTCAACATCTTTTTTATAGTGTGGTCAAAACTGGATACAGTATTCTAGGTGTGGTCTTACTAAGGCTTTATAGAATGGTATTAGTACCTTATTTGATCTTGATTGTATCTCTCTATTAATGCAATTAAGAAGCAATTGATCGAGGGCAATGTCAGCCCTCCGGTCACCGGGGCTGCCAATCTCACAGGGACCTTGGCCGCACCCCATATCGAAAGTTATTGGATGGGCCGGATGTTTACTGGGGCCTGGCTTAAACGCCACACCTGGAGCTGCCAGCAGGGAAGCACATCCATACGAACATGCCACACCAGGAGCCACCAGCTCAGCGGCATAAGGCCTCCGTGTCTTGAAAAGCACCTACGGTTGTTGAGGCGGTGCCCTGCTTTATCCAGGGCCGCGCGAAGCCTGCCAGGGCTGGATGGGAGGCGAGGCGAGGCCTGCGTATGGTGCCCGCAGCATGTATGACCAGTGCGCTGGGCTCTGTCAGCACTGGATGCCACGTAAGGGGTGGGGGGTTATAGGGGCTGGTCCTGGATGGAGCTTTGTGGGTGAAACTGACGCTATATAAACGGTGGAGGGATTAACCACGTTAGCACTGATTTTGCCTATTGCCTGTTTGTCACTTAGTGCTGCTTGTTATAGTTTGTTGGATAAAGTTTGTCAGTTAACCATCTTTGGCTCTGTCTAAATTCCTTGCTGACGGCCAGAACGTGACAGGCACTTTATTAGCACTAGTTGGCTGCTACTTCACCTCTTTATACAATGGAAGTTGTGATAAATTTCCTAATGGTGAGAACAATTAACCAGCAGAATGGCTTTCCTTCAGAAGTTGTGGTGCTCCATCACTGGAAACCTTTCAGAAGAGACATAATAGCCACTTCTCCGAAATGGTATAAGGTCTCCTGCTTGAGCAGGGCTTGCGTTAGAAGACCTCCAAGGTCCCTTCCAATTCTGTTATTACCTTCTGTTCTGTTGCGATGATACTTATGATACCCTGATAAGTAAAACCATAGAAATGAAAGAGGATGTACTTTCTTTTTCACTTGACTGTATGTGAAAACAACACTTTGCATTGCTAAGAATTTGTGATTGGCCCAGTCAACAAGGGAATTTCATCACTGAATGGATATTCGAACTTGGATCTGGGTAGTCTTCCATGTGTCATGATTAATGTAAGAGCTTCTTTGAGTATTATGGCATGTTTGCTTTTTCATTGTAATGTAACCCTTTTTCTTTTTTTCTCATCTTCTGCAGCCATTTCGTGCACAATTAAAGATACATTTTTATTTGAATCTTATAGACAAAGAAGATGGCAATGAGCACTCTGGACAACTGAGGATAACAAGCAACATTGAACACCAAAGCAAGTCAGTCCAAAAATCAAAATATTTTCCATTTCCTTCAGAGAGCCACACAATATCTTCCTCAGCAAGTGAGAGGAAAATGAGAGAAAATCAAGAAGAGATTTCTAGCTGGGAAACTAGAGTTTGAAATTCAAGCATACATTACATGAAAAGTCAAAGGAGATTATTTTTCCATTGGGGAAAAAAAGGGAAATATCTGGAAGTTACTGGGGAGGAAAAGGTCAATTGGAAAGCCACGTAGAGCAGACAGAGTTGCAGGCCCACTCTGGGAGGAAGAAAACGGCTTGAATCAAAGCACTGCTAAACAAGGAATCATCCATACTTTTGACCTCCAAAGGAATATGAGTTGTGGAAAAGCTCCATAGATGTGCCTGTTGTGGGAAAGATACAACTTACAAATCACAGCTGATTATGCCAGAGAGGATCCCAACTGAAGAAAAGCCATACAATACTCTAAATGTGGCAAAACCACTGATCAGAATACCTCCATAGTGGTTCTTGGAAGGACCCACACAGGAGAGAAGCCCTACAAGCGCTCCCAATGCAGTAAATGCTTTAGGAAGTATGGCAACGTGGACTCACACCGAGGAGAAACTGTTTGAATGTCCTGATTGTGAGAAATGTTTCTGTGATTATTCCAACCTGGTGATACACCAGAGGATTCACACAGAAGAGAAACCCTTTAAATATCCTGACTGTGGGGATAGTTTAAGTCAAAATTCTTTCCTCGTTTCACACCAGAGCACTCATACAGGAGAGAAACTGTTTGAATGTCCTGATTGTGGAAAAAGGTTCAATAAGAATTCCAGGCTGGTGACACACCAGAGGACTCACACAGGAGAGAAACCCTTTAAGTGTCCTGATTGTGGAAAAAGCTTCAGTCAGCATTCCAGCCTGGTGATACACCAGAGGACTCACACAGGCGAGAAACCCTTTGAGTGTCCTGATTGTGGTAAAAGTTTCAGTAACAATTCCACTCTGGTGAAACACCAGAGGACTCACACAGGAGAGAAACCCTTTGAATGTTCTGACTGTGGGAAAAGTTTCCGTCAGAATTCCAGCCTGGTTCAACATCAGAGGATTCATACAGGAGTGAAACCATTTGAATGTGCTGACTGTGGGAAAAGTTTCAGTCAGAATTCCACCCTGATTCAACACCAGAGGATTCACACAGGAGAGAAACCCTTTGAATGTCCTGACTGTGGGAAAAGTTTCAGTCATAATTCCAGTCTGTTTCAACATCAGAGCACTCACACAGGAGAGAAACCGTATGAGTGTCCTGTTTGTGGGAAAAGTTTCAGTAAGAATTCCAGTCTTGTGACACACCAGAGGATTCACACAGGAGAGAAACCCTTTGAATGTTCCAATTGTGGTAAAAGTTTCAGTACCAGTTTCAGCCTTGTGACACACCAGAGGACTCACACAGGAGAGAAACCCTTTAAATGTCCTGATTGTGGTAAAAGTTTCAGCAAGAATTCCACCCTGGTTCAACACCAGAGGATTCACACAGGAGAGAAACCCTTTAAATGTCCTGACTGTGGGAAAAGTTTCAGTCAGAATTCCACACTGGTTCAACACCAGAGGATTCACACAGGAGAGAAACCCTTTAAATGTCCTGACTGTGGGAAATGTTTCCGTCAGAATTCCAACCTCATCGGCCACCAGAGGATTCATGCAGGAGAGAAACTGTTTGAATGTCCTGATTGTGGAAAATATTTCAGTCAGAATTCCACACTGGTTCAAGACCAGAAGACTTACACAGGAGAAAAACCCTTTGAATGTCCTGACTGTGGGAAAAGTTTCCATCAGAATTCAAACCTCATCGGCCACCAGAGGATTCATGCAGGAGAGAAACTGTTTGAATGTCCTGATTGTGGGAAATGTTTCAGTAATAATTCCAACCTGGTGAAACACCAGAGGATTCACACAGGAGAGAAACCCTTTGAATGTCTTGACTGTGGAAAAAGCTTCAGTCAGAATTCCAGCCTGGTTCAACACCAGAGGATTCACACAGGAGAAAAACCGTTTGAATGTCCTGATTGTGGGAAAAGTTTCGGTCACAATTCCACCTTGGTGAAACACCAGAGGACTCACACAGGAGCGAAACCCTTTGAATGTCCTGACTGTGGGAAAAGTTTCAGTCATAATTCCAGCCTGGTTCAACATCAGAGGACTCATACAGGAGAGAAACCCTTTGAATGTCCTGACTGTGGGAAAAGTTTCAGTCAGAATTCCAGCCTGGTTCAACACCAGAGGATTCATACAGGAGAGAAACCGTTTGAATGTTCTTATTGTGGTAAAAGTTTCAGTAAGAATTCCAACCTGGTGAAACACAAGAGGACTCACACAGGAGAGAAACCCTTTGAATGTCCTGAGTGTGGGAAATGTTTCAGTCAGAATTCCACCCTGGTTCAACACCAGAGGATTCACACAGGAGAAAAACCCTTTAAATGTCGTGACTGTGGGAAAAGTTTCCGTCAGAATTCCAACCTCATCGGTCACCAGAGGATTCACACAGGAGAGAAACCGTTTGAATGTTCTGATTGTGGTAAAAGTTTCAGTAACAATTCCAGCCTGGTGAAACACCAGATGACTCACACAGGAGAGAAACCCTTTAAATGTCCTGATTGTGGGAAATGTTTCAGTCAGAATTTCCACCTCATGGAACACCAGGAGATTCATACACGAGAGAAACCTTTTGAACGTCCTGACTGTAGGAAAAGTTTTAGTCAGAATTTCAGCCTTGTTCAACACCACAGGACTCACACAGGAGAGAAACTGTATAAGTATCCAGACTGTGAGAATGATCTCAGTACTAAGGTTAACCTTATAAATCATGTACTTATACACAAAGGGGAGAAATCATTTTAATGCCCCGAGTGTGGACGGTACTTCAGGAAACTTTCTACCCTTATTGCACACAGAAAATCTCCTGAGGCCCCAAGCGATTAGTGTAGAGAAGGGTTGAATTTCATTTCTAGTGTCCCAATGCAAGTCCAGCTGAGAAATTGACTATTTAAATTGATTAAATTAAATAGAATTTGCCTGATTTTTTGTAGGCAAATATGTAATGGTATTAGATGGTGCAGAGGAAAGAAAAAGTTGGAACATATTACTTTGATAATGGCTATCTTGCCTTCAGCATAAGAAGTTGCTGGATATTTATTTTTGTAGAAATTTGTCTATTATGTAAAAATCTTTTTGGGAGTGTTCTTTGCATTTTTGTGATGGTGGATGATAGAAATGCTATGTGCCAGGAATCCCAGCCTTTTTCTCCCTGGGTCCCCCCAAGATTTTCAGCCTTAGAATTCTCCAGCCAGCATCTCTTGGGGATTGGAGCACTGAGACTATAGATTGTGGCTCCTCATATAAGGAGAAAGCAAGAGGAGAAGAGAGACAGAGGGGGGTTCAAAGTTTATCTTTTCCTAACGGTTCCAGGAATTCAGTGCACCAAGCATGTCTGTTCAGATTGTGTCGAGAATGAGGCACGCAAGTGGAAGAAACCATATGAATAGCAAATATATTGGGGGAGTTTAGGGCAGTGAGAAAAGCAATGTAAAATTTCAGATGTAAAGGCTGTTCTGCCCTGCAGGTGACTTTCATGGTTCAAAAGCCAAAAGAAGCAATTTGATTGAAATGTGTCAGTTGCTACATATTCCTTCTCTCCCCAGATTTTATTCCATTTGTGGTACATGCTTTAAAACTGGTTCTCCTTCATATGAGGGTGGCCTTGTGATTTTATGGACACCTTCTTTTCTTGACATGAAGTTTCAAGTCACACTCATGGTACATTGCACTGAACAGAACACAGTGATTTGCTTAATGACCACAGCTAGAACAGATGTTCTAAGTTGGCATGGTAAAGTGAGAACATATTTAATGACCACACCAGTCAGGAATGGACTTGATTCCAATGACTGTTGTTAAGTGAAGACTATATTAATCAGATTATCATTGTGGTTCTGCAGAATATTTCTTACCTTTTTTCTTACAGGCAGTCCTCAGGTTAGAACAGTTCATTTAGTAACTCAACAGCACCGAAAAAAGTGACTGGTGACTGTTTTTCCCATGACCATTGCAGCATCCCCATGGTCACATGTTCAAAATTCAGATGCTTGGCAAAACACCCATAATTATGATGGTTGCAGTGTCCCGGACTCATGTGATCCTCTTTTGTCACCTTCTGACCAACAAAGTCAACAGGGAAGCCAGATTCACTTAACAACCATGTGACTAATTTAACAACTGCAGTGATTCACTTAACAACTGTGGCAAGAAAAGGTGTAAAATGGGGCAAAACTCACTTAACAAATGTCTCATTTAGCAACAGTGAAATTTTGGGCTGAATTGCGGTTGAGGACTTCCTGTATTTACATAAAGTATCAGAGTTGGAAGCGACCTTAGAGGTGGTCTAGTCCAACCCACCGATCAAGACAGGAGACCCTATTCCATTTCAGACAAGAGACTGTCCAGTCTCTTCTTAAAAGCCTCCAACCCAAACCCTGTCCTTTAATGCCGCTGAAGCTCTTGGGATCATTTCATCAATTAACATCCTCCCCTTGCTTTAAAGTTAGATCAAAAAGTGTGAGTGTGTTGTATGGAGTAATCACGACAGACACACCCCTCCACCCAAAGAATGAAATATTTTGGGGAATATTAAAAAGAGGCAGAATATTATATTTCCCCAAAGGAGAAATGGAGAAAAAAAAATACTAGCAAAGGCAGAAAGCAGCCACAACAGTTTCCAGCAGATGCCTGAAGTTTTTAGAGATGGATATTTTGTGTCCATTAAGAAATCTAGGACAGCCTATTCACAAACAAAACACCTAGAATGCCAATTGATGGGATTAATCACAAATTAAAATTTGCATTTCCCCATCCAAAATCTAAGGACAGGACATAACTTTTTACTACAGGGGTCTTCAAAGTACAGCCTGTGGGGTGCATATGGCCTGCTGAAGCAATGTATTGGGCCCACGCAGTGGTGGGATTCAGCCCTGCCCCTCGCCCCACCCCTACCAGCCATTTCTTGCATGGCTGGCTGTGCCACCTGCATGGCCCCTCCTCTAGCCGTCACCCTTATCTTCCAATGCACAGGAGTATGCAAACCGCAAAGGTAAGGGCGAAGGGGGAGGGTGGGCAGGGGAAGGCGTGTTTCACAATGGGGGAGACAGGGTCTCCTCCTGGAGCCCATTATGACGTGGAGCCACAGTATGACCCTGACCCACTCTCCCCTGACAACACTAGCATTGGCGTCAGCTTGTTTTCGCCTCTCAGATGTCAGTCACTTTTCCTGCAGATACTGCAGGCTGCCTGTCTTGTGATGCCCTGCCTCCCCGCCAGCCAGGTGGTCTTTGGGTCTCTGCCGACCAGTTGTTCATTGTACGGCTCATCAGCCTCTGGATGTCAGATTCCCACCATCTAGCACCAGTTCAGGGGTTCCTTCCCCTGCCTCCGGACAGCGAGAGAGAGAGACAGAGACTGAGGAAGGGAAGGAAGGATGATAGGAAGGAAGACAGATTCAGGGGTTGTGGTAAAAACTAGTTCAGTAATAAGGATGTGATGGCCCTCCAGTGGCTACTGCATTAGACTCCCATCATTCCTGACTATTAGTTGTGCTGTTTAAAAAATCCAGTGCCACCAGGGAGAAGTCAAGTTGTGAGTGATTGAAATTCCTCACATTGAAACTAAATGGTCATAACAGAGGTATGTATTCTCCCTGACACATTTTCTTGTTATGTGCCCTATGATTTAAATTTCAGATAAATGTATTTCTCTGCTGTCGTCTTGTTAATTCAGCGAGCTATCCCAGGGCACTGCCAGGGTTGACGGGGATCCTGCAGAAGATGCCTCAGGAGCCAGTCTCATCTCTGTACCCATCAAGCATTCCATGTCCTAGTTTCTGTTCCCCACCCCCATTTGCTCTTGTAGCACACTTTTCTTTCCTTTGATATAACAGGTAAAAGTCTCTGAACGTACCTGAGAGCTAAACTTTAGATGTACTTGAAATCTTAATTTCTCCCTTAATTTCTGCAGAGAGAGAGAGAGATAGACGGAGAGGGAGAGAAGGAAGGAGAGAGAGAAAGGGAGAGACTGAGACTTGTTGATTGTAGGCTCCTTGGGCTGAGAAGAATTGCTGCAAAACTGAATTTATTGAAGTGGACCACTAGACTCCTAAACAACTTAATAAAATAGAATAACAGAGTTGGAAGGAACCTTGGAGGTCTTCTACTCCAACTCCCTCCATAGGCAGGAAACCCTACACCACATCAGACAAATGGTTATCCAACATTTTCTTAAAATCTTCCAATGTTGGAGCATTCACAACTTCTGGAGGCAAGTTGTTCCACTGATTGTTCTGTCAGGAAATTTCTCCTTAGTTCTGAGTTGCTTCTCTTCTTGATTAGTTTCCACCCATTGCTTCTTGTTGTACCCTAAGGTGCTTTGGAGAATAGTTTGACTCCCTCTTCTTTGTGGCAGCTCCTGAGATATTGGAACACTGCTATCATGTATCCCCTAGTCCTTCTTTTCATTAAACTAGACATACCCAGTTCCTGCAACCGTTCTTCATATGTTTTAGCCTCCAGTCCCCTAATCATCTTTGTTGCTCTTCTCTGCACTCTTTCTAGAGTCTCCACATCTTTTTTACATCATGGCGACCAAAACCGAATGCAGTATTCCAAGTGTGGCCTTACCAAGGCATTATATTAACACTTCACGTGATCTTGATTCTGTTTATGCAGCCTAGAACTATGTTGGCTTTTTTGGCAGCTGCTGCACATTGCTGGCTCATATTTAAATGGTTGTCCACTAGGACTCCAAAATCCCTCTCACAGTTACTACTGTTGAGCGAGGTACCACATATATTGTACCTGTGCCTTTTGTTTTTCTAGCCTAAATGTAGAACCTTACTTTTTTCAGCATTGAATTTCATTTTGTTAGATAGCGCCCAATGTTCAAGTCTGTCAAGATCCTTCTGTATCTTAAGCCTATCTTCTGGAGTGTTGGCTATTCCTGCCAGCTTGGTGTCATCTGCAAATTTGATGAGTTCCCCATCTATCCCCTCGTCATTGATGAAGTTTTGAAGAGTACTGGGCCTAAAACAGCCTTGGGGTACTCCACTGCATACTTCCCTCCATGTAGATGCAGTTCCATTGAGGACTACACGTTGAATGCGGTTGGTCAGCCAGTTACGAATCCATCTGGTGCTGATGCTGTCCAACCCACATTTTTCTACTTTATCTAGTAGTAGGTTATAGTCTACTTTATCAAATGCCTTACTGAAATCCAAGTAAATTATATTGACAGTGTTCCTCTGGTCCACTAATTTTGTCACTTTGTCAAAGAATGCAATAAGATTAGTCAGGCATGATCTGTTTTTTTAAAAAAGATTTTTTTTAATTTTTAAAACAAAACAAAACATAAAATAACCATCATCCATTACAATTACAGAAAGTGTGTTGATCGGTTACAATTCTTTGTGCTTAATCCCATCTCCAAAATTTACAAGTTATTTCTCTTATTTGACAGTTTTTTATATCTCTTTAATTCTTTAATTAATTAATTTCTTTAATTCTGCTGGATCCAGGAAAGGCTTCTTGAGGAGGGGCCTTACAACCGCTTCCTTTAATGGTTGCGGAAGGCCCCTTCCCTCAAGGACGCGTTAACTAAAGCCTGGAGTCAGCCTCGTGTCACCTCCCTGCTGGCATTGATGTATAGATATTTGAGTCCATTTTGATTGACCCTGTGTTTACTGTCTACATAACCTGTTGTTGTGGCTCCATTACCTGAGCCTGTGTTATCGGCAGGAGAGGACTCCGAGAGTGAAGGAGAGGAGTTGGCAAGGCCTCCCTCTCCAGGACCCTCCTCTCTGGCAATGCCTTCGGTGTCCTCCGAAGGTCAAGAGATGGGCCCGGGGCCAAGCACATCCACACAGCCACAGGTGGACAGTAATGAGGAAGATGAATCTTGGCTGGACCCTCGGCAGCGTCGCAGAGATAAGCGGCCGCTGCAGAAGAGGCGTGCCAGGGATTAGGCTGAGTCA